GACAGAAGTTTAGGTGACATTGCATAGGTTATGAAGTTAACATGGCAATGGGGGGGGGACGCTTTGCACGCAAAGCCGGCGATCGTTTGACCAGATAGACGTCGGACTTGATTCCTAGAGATAGTAAGCGGCCCGTGGGATAACTTCCAGATCGATGGCAAGATCAGCTAAAAAAATTTCCTTCGATTGAGATGGTTGCAAATTGCAGATAAGAGGTTTGTGGCAAGGTCTTGCAGAGGCCTTCGTCCCACAGTTAATTGAAAAAAGGCTGATGATGATGAATGTTTATGAACGATGAACCGCCAGAACACCATACCTTGAGGTGCACCGTCAAAATATCAAAATAAGCACAGTAAAAGAGTGACAACGCTGATTCACTTAGCGATTTCTGCGTGCTACAGATTGCGCAATGTCATGAAAAAATCAACCCATAGTTTTTCCCCCGCTCCCTTACGATACATAAGAATGAGATCTGGTAATGCATCTAGGTCGATGTGGCTTCACTGTTATTAGTGAATGTTTTACTTTTTCGATGCATGTATTTACTTGTTTTACTTTAATTGGCGTTTCTACGTTAATGACTATTTAATTGCATGCTTTAAATAAATAGCTAGAGCTGATAACAGGGTCGACGTTAATCTATTATTTACTCTATTGGAAAAATACAAATATGTTAAAATACTGAAATTAAGCTGCCGGAATTTACTTTTTATATGTATTTTATTTACTAGTTTCATTTTTTTGTCAGTTTTAGATTGACCAGGCTTAACTTTGCTTATTCAAGTTTTCAGTTCAATGATTTGATCGATACCATTGTAGGGGAGCCACGCTGCTGTTACAGTGGAACGGCTTAAGAAGGTTGTATCTATACAAAATAACGGAGAACATGAAGAAGCTTCTTCGAAGTCATTACGATAAGGTTGTTCTGCCTCATGTCGCTTCAGGACTGGTGGACGAAAAGAAACTGTGGTCATCGACGAATCTTCTGAGTCTTGATGACACGTATACCAGGTGTGACGATGCCTCTGGAGCGTCATGCTACAGTACATCAGTCTAAAATTTCATTTAAATTTTAGGAAGGTTAATGGTTTTAACACGGTCGAGGAGTACTACGAGTTTTGCAGCTGTCGTAAACTTCTCAGTGAGGTATGTCGGTACTTTGAAAAATATATTGTTCTTCGTTAATCTTTATACTTGTCTGTTTTAATTAAATTAATTTCATAGATATCAGTTCCTATGGTATTCATCAATTCAGTTGATGATCCATTGGTACCTAATTCGCTCTGGGAGATAGCCAGGAAGTATGCTGGTAAGTTGATTAAGTTATTCTTATAGTTTAGTGCCATTTATATTTTCTTTTTAAATATGGTATATTTGTTTGATGCTCTCGTGGTCCGCGAAAGATTAAAACTCCAAGAAAGAAAAATTGCCTTTAGTTGTTTTTACATCTTAAATATACCCCTCCTTCTGCAACGGGGTTATGACAAATGTGACCCTGATCTTGTGTTGTTCTTTGAATACCCTTGACGAATGACTCATCACAGAATTTATTAATCTCCGGGAACTTGTGTTAGTGAGGTCGTTCATCGTAGTATCACAATAGTACGAATGTTCCATGTCTGTTTATTCTTGATGCTGCAGGTAATTTCCAGTGATCACATTTTATGCTGATGTTTCACGCAGCGCTTTGTGTTATTCGATTGCCAAATATACATTTTTCTAACAGTAGCGTATACCCAAATGTTCTGTAATTTTCCAGGCGACTCTCATCCTATTCTTCTCGTTCGTTCTGACAGCAATCGCTTATTCTCGAGACAGTGCATGGATATTTAAAGGAGTTCATGAAACGTCTGAAGCGATCGATCTGAAAGCTGTTTATGCCTTCGTTACTTTCATAACCTTCGTTATATAGTGTATCGATTTAATCTAACTTTTGTCTTATCGTAAATGAAGAGTTAAGCAGGTTCTGTAGATGGCTTATTGTATAACTGAGAAATGTCGCCTCAGGTATTTTCTAAATAAGTGAAATCTTACACTAGATATCGTGAGCTACGTTTTGAACAAAACTGGAATTGGGCGAAAGGGCGTTAGGACTAGTTTCCGCGGAGTTTCTTGCGGAATTTGTTGCAATGGCTGGTTCCCGGATTACTCTCAAAGTTGTTTCTTGCAGCCTTTGACCTTACCAAGCCTTGCCAGTCTATTAGAACAGTATTGCGTAATTTCCATGCACGGTGAAGTGTGTTAACTCAACACCTGGTTTGGTACTATGAGAACTGACATTAAAGTCCTCTTTCGACTGGCGGTGTATGAGATCAAGCAGTTGAAGATCTGGCTGACCATGACGCTGAAATTTTTACTGGCAGATATCTTACTGACCGCGACTTGCAGATAAGGAAGGCAGTGATCAGGAAATTCATTTTAGCCGGATAAACAAGACGCAGCAGCAGCAGAGTACCGACGGCAACTGCAAACCTGTTTTCAGATATTACTCTGAATACTGTTTAAGTACAGAGCCCATTCCGATATTGAACAGTGAACATTATACATGACACATCTTTTTTAGAACGCCAACGTTACTTTGATTCCATTTCAGTTTACATCCGTTTATTCTGGCTCGTTTCCCTTGTTATTCTTAGTCTGCCTCGTTCTCTTCTGTCTTTCTTCAATGAAAACATCTTTCTCGAAATTACTCGCAGTATCATACTGGGACTGGTAGGAATCGTCGTTCTTTGTTCATGTGCTTAGACTAGATGATAAAGCATTTCATTAAACCATCCTGAGTGCTAATACGATACGGTAAACCCCAACCCTTCCGCCAGAGTTGCACTAAGTCTACTCATAGGCACATTTTCTTTGATAACTTAAGTGAAAATGACCTCTAGGGAGAATGCCATGTGTCTACTTTACCGTGGCACGCGATCCCACATTTTGATCGTTCTCCATTATAATTGACCTGGGTCTGGTTGGTTGAATAACAGGCATGTTACTTTTGTCTACTTGAAATGATTTTGAGTAGAAGTCTGTGAACTTTGACTCAGTTCAAATTAGGTGTGAAAATTATAAAAATTATTTACGAACTGTTCCCCCAAATTTTTCTCATTCTAATGGGTGTTAACTGTTTTACAGAGGAAAAGCCTGACATGCTCCTCATCACTCCAAAGCATGGCGGCCATCTTGGGTTTATGGAAGGCTCGTTCTTTCGTCCCAATTCCATCACGTGGTTGGATCGTTTGATTATTGAACTCTGCAATGCTGCTCTAAAGTTGTATCATTGATCTTTCGTCCGCTTGGAATCGTTTGATATTGGTCAGTGCCGTTCTGACGATGTATTTAAATACGATTCAAGGTCGATATCGTGGCAGTCACGTGTCAGACGTTGAAATGATACCGTACTCATTGCTGGTTGTTTAATCGTGTTTAATCCGTAAAACGGATTTTGTTTTGGAGCAAGAGATCGGCTTCCTAATTTGTATATGTTTGGATGTCTATTTTTTCCCGGTTGGTAACTTGATTGCTTTGTTTAAGCTGAAAATTCTCCTGTTGAACTATCGTTTACTTTGAACTGTTCACCGTAAACAGACGATCTCGCTGCTGTAAAAATCTTTTAATCGTTTCAGTATCTGGGCCGTAGCTGAATGAGATGATATTCATTCTACGGTTCTTGGTCAAGTCTGATGAGCTGCTGTAAAATTTCCACTGTTTTAGTTGATTTAATCGTTCTTTCGTAATCGGAGCGTAAATGTGTTTGTTCATTTATTTTAATTTTGATCCGTTTCGCTGCGTGATGTTCGAAACGTCTTTGTGATCCTATGTTGTACCTCTCAGATTGATGCATCCCTGTGCTACGAATTATATTTTTGGCTATCTTGTAATATTGTTGGGCTTCGGCAAAACGTTATAATAAAATAAAAAGTCAGGTTGTTACAGAAATGTTGTGTTGCTCTTTTTGACATGAAAGTATATTTACAGCAGTTTTAGTCGTTACAATGTCCGTCGCCGTTATATTGTCTGCGCGGAATAAAGCAGAATAGCTTCATAATGTTTATCGTTCCTCTGCGGTCATCCAGGAAATAGTGCTATATTATAATTAGTATTTCAACCTGGATGACTCTAGCCCGTATGGTCTTAGTTTCTCTCGATAGAAAGGTGGTCATCTTACGTTCATTTATGGTGTAAGGTGGGTGAACCGATCGGTATTTGAAACTGCTATTTTTCGATACGAGTCGACTCCGGTTCAGAATATATTAGCTGCAGTTCCTACAGTTTAATTCTCGAAAAGGAAGTTTGTGACCGTTGGAAAGTCAGTCTTGCTTAAAATTATATGATGGGGCCCTTCTTTTCATGAAGTTAATGGTTTGGCGTGAACTCTTTTTTTCTGCCTTCAGGTTGGGGGTACCTTATTTTTAAAGGCGTAATGGAGAGCAGCTGCTTGATAGCACTTTTATCTAAATCGTCGAACCCGTTTATTTGTGATGTATCTTCTGTGCTAAAATTTCAGCTGATCAAATTTAAAGAAACTCCACCTACATGACGGGGCTATATCTTGGCTCTCCAACAAAGTGATCACACTGTTGTCGCTGTGCCGTCAACGGATTACACCGCAGCGGACAAAGTGGATGGATTGAGTCAGTTTCGCACAATGGAGTGATAAGTTCTCATCGTGATATGTTGCAGTTTTGTGATTTGTTAATGTTTCATTCATTCATTCATTCATTCATTCGTAATATGTTTCATTTACTCGGTTGGCCATTGTTGTGTTTTCGTCTCATCGTCATTAGGTGGCATGATGGATGTGTCCTCTGTCTTATAGAATAATGGCGCTATGGTGATCGAGTGGCCTTCGGCGACGTACGCTGGATAGCGTAGAGTGGATGGAGCGAATGGAGAGCATTGCCGAAGCTGTAATTAGTTTGTATCGTAAAATGTTGAAGTTCTATGTGCTTATTCAGTCTGTTGGCCATTGCTGTTCTTGCGATAGTCATGATTATATGTTTTATTATCATTTTTTGCTTCAGTTTTGGAAAAGTACTGACCATTGCTGGACCAGATAGACATTAGGTTAGGTTCCAGGAGAGCAAATTACCCGGAAGAACTCAGTTCGATGATAGAGTAAGCTGAAGAAGTTCGTTGGATTAAAATGAATAAGAATTACAGAGTTGCCTTAAGTTTTAGGGCACAGTCTTGGAGAAGCCTTCATCCAGGAATGGACAAAACTGAAGGTGAAGGAAGTTCAACTCGGGCTGGATTTAAACCCTGAGCGCTAAACTAAAAAGCCGCTGTTTCTCCCTCCTTCCAAGTTCTAAGGTATGTTCCTAATTGATAAAGTAAGTAAGTATATATATTGTAAATGTCATTCCGATGCTCGATTTTCTACTCTAACCGAATAATAACCGAAACTCATTCCCTTGCAACAGGACATTTATGTATTTGTCGAAGATACTTTTTGTCTTCCAACTGCTAGTCGTGAAATCTTAAAATATATCTGGAACGTCATGCAGGTATGAGTTCCAAAGACCTTTGGTTATTTACCTGTTGGTTTGATTTCTATTACTGCTGGATGTTAGGATCACTATGTAAAACATTGAAAGTAGCTACTTGAATGAGGAAACGCGAAGATTGTATTTTCGTTAAGCGCTCTAGTATTCTAATGCACTCCTTCCTTATGGTCCGTGTTCCACATCCGCGATACTTGAGAGTATCCCAGCAAATATGGATCACCATGACCCTGTGAAAGCCGCAGTAAAGTTAGTCTTCGATAAGCTCATTCCCTCTCAAGAGGATCAGCCAAAGAAGCATTAGGTCTTTCCGATTGCGAAAAGCTGATTTTCACTTTGAAGAAGTTATCCTAAATTTCAACCTAATCATCGTTTTTAAATAGATCTCAGTTATCTGACTCGAGGATGACTTTTATCATTATCACAAAGACCGGCCTGCTGGTTCTTCAGAGCTGTTGAAAATTTGTTGTTCACCTGATCGACCATCGTTTTTATTGCCTATTCAATTTTGTAGTAAGAAACATCTCGTTAATCTTACTACTCCAGTGATTTGTAGCCGCGATAAACGCTGAGAATGGTACATGAAATTGATATGCAGTGATCATAAATCCTTGATTTTAGATTTTATGAAAACTAGTTGTTTCACAACTTTGCATGGTTGGTTTTTCCGATGTTAAGTTAGGTCATGACAAGCTATAAACATAACGTAGGTACGAATTGAGAGAAAAGGAAAGTTTGTACCTCTGGAATGTCAGTCTGTTACATTTTTATGAGAAGACCATTCTGGCGCCCCTTTGTTGCACAGAGTTGTTTGTACCCTGCTGATCGTTTCTGTGCCATCAGCAAGGAGTGCGTTGTTATGAAGACAGCGTCTACAGCCATGTGACAAGCGTAGCGTTTAATCTTCCGTTTTGTTCCCAATAATAGTACTCATTTATCAACTTCAGATAGAAGATAGGGGCTCAAACCAGGGCGCTGACTCTGACTCTGACCGGAGCTCAAACTCGAGACTTCTTATTTCTATGCCCTACCGATTGAAGCACGGTTCAAAGCAACATATGGAAAATTCCTTTCTCATTTATAAGACAAGGTTTCCCTCGATCAGAATGGAACCCAGTACCATCAGAGTTTGAAGTACACCTCTTAGTTGCTGTGCCACCACGCCACATAACTAAGTAATAAAGTAAGGAACGAAGTGGGCAAGTAAGTAATTTGAAACAGTGGTAAATAGGCAAGTATTCGTTGGGGTTCACCAAAAAATCAAACACGCACGACATCGCAGTCATTAAGGGCTTTCGTCAAAGTGAAATGGATATACTTCTTTATTCAATGATATCATCGTCAGTGGCTGTTAGAGTTTCAACCGTTAGGTTTCAGTTTAAAATAAAATTCAACCTATGTGATCTAGCAAGGTTCCTGAGATATAGATCAAAATTTAAGCGTTGATGTATTAGTTATTGAAACCACAATTGGCATTGCATGTAATAATTGAACATACGCTTCGTAATTATATTTTTTAAATGTTGATTTCCTGTCATAACTAATATTTTGCATGTTCAGATTACAGTGAATTTGATACGAGTAAAAAAATATTTATTCTTTCAGACGTTGGTAATTAATTTCGATGTTACTCCGTTAGCGCGCAATATTCCCAGGCACCGCTGATCGATGGCATGTCGTATGTTGTTTTCAGCTTTACAGTTGTGCCTTCGCCGCCTGCCAGT